CCCTCGGAAATTTACGACCATGTCGGGACATGGTCGTAAATATTTATCCCGGAGGTGTCAGATCGATCAGAAACAGATATCATTTCTAATCACACCAACACTTATGACACGTTTAGAAACGTCCAGAAAAGTTGAAAAAAGTTGGGAAAAAGTGTTTTTAAACGATTTTGTACGATTTTGTCGTATTAGTACTTTTTTAACGGCCAAATTGAACATTCAGCTCATATTTAATAACCGTCAATACATTTTTTGACAGTTTTGCACATTAGACAATATTGTGATCACTCTATCTGCCGCATTGACAATTCATGTGCTATTACATCAATTGAATTCTTTCTTTTCGCCTTTTCTTTCGTTAAATGTGTGAGTGACACACGCAGACAACTACAACAGCATGTAGGAGTCAGATGAAAAAGACGCATATTATAGGAGTTGTCGGTAAGGCAGAAAGAGATCACAATAGTGCTCAATGAATAGACTGCGCCTCATTCGACAAAAGTTGACGTATTTTGGGGGCAAATAGCCTATTTGTTTCAGAATCATGAGAAAAGAACATTCCAACCAGAACTGTGCAAAAATCTTTGATTGGGACCTGGCGCATCGTGTATATCGCCTCGAACAATTCATTTTAGTCATTTCTGATGGAATATACACTTTTTACTAACTGGTATCGTATTTTTTACCATATTTATTGCTTCGTGACTGTAGAATTGAACTAATTTAACACGAATAAACAATACTAAATCAATTTCACATCGACTTTTGATCATTTTTAGCAAATTTTGACAATTTTGTATGGGTGGTACCCGTAAGCTCCCTTCCGAATAGCTTCAAACTTTCTCGCATTTCATTTTTCGGCGAAAAAATGAGATTTCGAAAGTTTCATGCTGATCGCATTTGCACAAGTTTGGTTTTAGCCCAATAATTTTATCTGAAATTTCCTTGAACTTCTACTTCGGTTATAACATTTCAATGCGAATTCCCAATAAACAAATAAACATATTTAGACCACATCAAACATGTGTTTTCCGATGGCTGAGCATCTCAGCATTTCGTATGCTGCGGATATATCCGAGCATATCGACGACGCATACTATAATACAGTGGTGTGGTCGAGTCTCTGCTCTGCTCTGTGGCTGCGCTCAGCAGCGCACGCCACTGTATTACACAGTATGCGTCGTCGATATGCTCGGATATATCCGCAGCATACGAAGTGCTGAGATGCCATAAAACTTATAATAAGGTATTTGGATTTATAGACTCAAAAAAACAATAGAAATTGATTCTCTTGTTCATTTACATGTTATGAATGATGAATATTTCATACAAAAATCCATGAAAAACGCAACTTTTGTTCGGGAGGTACCTCAAAAAGTCAAATTTAAGTGTTTAGCTGAGCAAACACCTATTATTTTCGAGAACATATAACTTTGCGTCAAAACTCCGATTCCAAAAAGCCTAAACTTAAGGATTTTTCGATCAAAAATCGATTTTTTTGAGAGTTGGAATCGAACCAATCGAATATGAGGGTAGAACTATGTGAAAACATGACTCGATTTGGTCGTGTAAGTATCCAAAATGTTCATAAAGGATTATACTAGATGTTCAAAGGCAGAAAAGATAGAAATCGCTTGCTTTTATCTGTCAAACCGAAGCTCATGTTCGTGATTTGCCCATTTTGGTCTGAAATTGGTCTTTTATGTCTGGGTCAATTGAAGCCAAATTCCATCCAAATCGCAATCTGACAACTAACCAAATATTTGTACAGGTTCTGGCTACACGATACAAGTCAAAGACTGAACAAAAGTCTACCACCTGGATGACTTAAATGGGTCAAATGTAAAAAATGCTGAAAATTTGAATTTTTTTTTGTCATTTCACACTGTAATTGGCCCAGAATGCATTTTCATGGGCTAATGTCTTGGCAAAAGTTATATATATTGACGAGCCAAACAAAACCCTATCATCAGTTTTTGCCGAAAGTCGTTTGGAAAAATTATTTTGGTCGAAATGTTGCGATCTAAAATGGCTTCCGAAACGAGTGGAATGAAAAAATGGATACCTCTTTGGAAAGTGGTTTTTTTCTACGTTTTCCGAGTTTTTGATGTCAAACTTATTTTTTTGAGGCCAATTTTCGAAATTTATATGAATATTCCAGGAAAAAAAAATCTGGACCAGTCTAACATCACATGCATCTGTATTATGAATTTTTTACAAGAAAACCACTTCTGCTTTCATTTACATACAACGAGAACTATTAAAACATTTATTTTTCATATGTTCAGCATGAATTTTTGTCCGAGGGATAAGTTGCGATTTTTATCCCTCGAAATTTATCCCTCGGTATAAATTGCATTTTATACCCCGGGATAAATTTTATCCCGAGGAACATAAATAGACTGATAGAGAAAAAAAGGGAATAGGAGAAAAACGAATATGCGTAGTAGTAGTAGTAAATGAGGCAAATCAATTTCCACTTACCGCTTTGTAATGCGAGGTCTCAACGGCCATAAAATTGCTATATATCTGTCGATGCTAATTGCGACCAAGGTGTAGGCACTTACGAGCACGGAAATCGCTTGAGAATAATTAACCAAATGACAGAGCAGTGATCCGAACGGCCAATATTGCAGCAGCAACGTTGGAAAAAACGAAAATGGAACGCAAAACAATGACATCAAAATATCACCAACCGCCAAATTCACAATGAAATAATTGGTGACCGTTCGCATGCGAGGCGATGAATACACGATATAACAAACAACACCATTTCCAAACAATGCAAATATAAATATCGATATGTACATAATATAAACGGTTGTCTGAAAATATGTGCTGTCATCCAGTTCATCTTTGTCACATGATGAGAGGTTGAAGTTTGCATGGTCGAAGAGTTCGTTCAGAGTTTTTGCGTCACTGTTATACGGATAGGCGGGTGCATAAGCATCAGTCGTGCCATTTTTGGTCACATGTAGCATCGTATAAGACCAAACAGCTGGCGATATGGCCTGCGTTGGTGACAGTAATCGACTTATTTCTGTATTCAATGCTGACATTGCTTTACTTTTCTTATCCATGCTGTAATTTGTTTTCGGTCTTCGTCTGTGCACCGGCTCCTGTATGCTGCTTGCCTCTGTGCGGTCGTTCGTTCGTCCCGGTCGGTTTTTATTGTTGTTTGGCGCTGTTTTCTTTGCTTTCTTTATTTCTTTTGTTGTTTGGCTTCTTTTTTTTCTGTTGGTTTTTATTTATTTGATATCACAGATGTTTACAAGCGATAATATTCCTGATGATATTCACTTTGGAACATACAATGAAATTTTAATACTGCACCGCTGTGCCGTGCTGTGCTGTGCTATGTGTGTTGTTGCTGGACGTGTTTGGGCCGTCAACCGTGTAGATAAACACACAACGAATACACCTCCGAGTACTTTTACTTGTCACAAACAAACGGAATTGTTTTAATCATCGGCCCCAAAACGTTGGTGTGTCGTTTTCACACATATTCACTTGTCAATCACCATTTGTTTCGCACACGCACACACAGTGTTTCAAACATTTTCCACCGCACACAATGCTTCTTTGGCTTAACGTAATTTGATTTTTCTTTAAATTAGTGGTGGATTTTTTGGTTTTTTTAGTTTTTATTATTGTTTTTACTGTTGCATCAGATGTTTATTGTATCATGTTCGTGCCCTTTTGTCTTTTCCGGCTTGACTAAGTACCAAATCGGTACGGTGTAATGAAGCTGAAGACATCGGCAGCAGAAATGTCGTCGTCGTTGTTATCTTTAGCGTTTAAAAGAATCAAATATTTATTTTAGATACTGCGCGGCAAACGGAGTATAAAAGTCATCATTTAACAGTCTAATAGGATTAATATCCTATAATGATGACATTTCATCATTATGTCGATGAAAAGCTCGAAATCCTTGCAAACATTCCATTTCTTTATCCACAGATTTTCCACAAATCAGCTAAAGCATTCACCAGGAGAAACGCAGCAGTAGCGGCAGCGGCCAAAAAAGAAGGAGAAGAATAAGAAAAAAAGTGTAAACATTATTAAAGTATTTGAGAAATTAAATTAATGGGTGCGCGCGAATAATTACATTCGTAACATCTTGATGCGATCGTCATATTATAAAGTTTCCCAAGTTCCGCCGATTATTATTAGCTCATAATTAAAATCTGTCCTCAGTCACACGGGCCGGTGCCAAGTAGAAAATTCTGTAAGAACATAGCAAATAACAAATCCGCGTTAAAGATAGATAATTTCGCAAGAATGGAAAGTGGCAGGGATAAAACATATAAACGAGCGGGCGGGGAAGGTAGACAAGCAACCATGCATGCCGCATGCTCGAACGAAGAATTGGCAAGACGGGAAAATTAAGTGAAAAGTGTCGTCGAAACACGACAACATCAAACGAGAGAATGAAGAAGTAAAACGGTGTGTGTTCGTGTATGGAATCTTGAACGCTCGCACTTGCTTTCGCGTTCACGTGGTAGGCACCTCCAAACGATGATGGGCTAGAGAATGGCAAGCAGGCACTTTTCGTCATCGTTGTCGTTGTCTATTGCGTTTACTTATTTATCAACGGTTAAACGAGAGGCTTTCACTTGTTTCTTCTTCTATGTTCGTTCGCTTATTTGGTGGCTGGCTCGCGCGCACAATACCTACATAAATATGCATAGGATATATTGTGTTCTATTTCTCTCTCTCTCTCTCTCTCTCTCCCTTTGTCGGTACATCGAAGAGCATTTGCAATCCGGCATTCGGGTTATGAACTTATTTTTAATTATATTCCACGAAATTCTCGACGGAGGCAGTGTGAGCAAGATAGAGCGAATAAGTACAGGAGAAGCACATGCATATGCACACAAAATTCAATTATTCCAAATTTTATTACTATATAAACCAAGGTCAATTAAGGTTGTGTGTGCACAGGCGTTTCTATTTTTCTGAGAATTAAATCGGCAAACGAACGGCTTCATGTTATTCACAACCATTTAGGATTTTACACCAAATTTTCGTAAATCTTTCGCTTGTAAGCGGCGAACAACTCTTTTTATACGGTGTTTTTTTTTACATAGCCTCCACGAACGAGCGCTCAAAAATTGGCGTAAAGAAGTATTGCCGTCATCCAATTTTATCTCACGTCATAAGCATCGTTACCAGAATCTTGTGTTGGAGGGCAAAGCTTTCGCAAGCGTGTGCCATGTGCGAAATCTGAATTTTGCACAAGAACTACATTGTTTTCGTGTGTTTTGTTCTTTTCTTTTTATTTCACTTTCATTTCACATCCTTCGAAATGGCACCTTCTGTGATCTTTTGCCAGATTTGCCGACGGATGCTAACGTACATTCCATGAAAGTATAATTGTGTGTAACGGATTTGCCAAATCTAAAAAACATTTGCGACAAAACTCACAAGACCATTTGTGCCAGATAGAGTACGGTGATGGCGTAAATTATCTGCACACATAGAGAAAAGTGTGTATGTTTTCAACACAATTCAATGCTGAATATTAATTAAGAATTAAAATTTCGTTTGAAAAAGTTGGTATTGACGGCCAGTGTCTCAAACAGTGAATTGTAAAAGGGAGAGAAGGAAGGAAGAGAAGAGAATACCGGGCTTAAAATCTTAAGAAATCGAAATCAAAATCATATCGACAGATATGCCGTAGGCCGGCGCAAAACTCAAGCACGCCGTTTTTTTTCTTCTTCTCTCGCTCAATTTCTTTTGTCTGGACCGTTAACATAAGAATTGTTCGTAATTACGCTGTACTTTCGCCTTTAATTTGCCGTGGAATGTGCGCGTTTTGATTTTTTTTCTCATTTATTTCGACGATGGCATCACAAGACTGATTAACAAAAATTGATTAGTATGATGGAATGAGAAAATGAAGGGCGGGCGTTGGGAGGAAGACATGAGCTAATGAACACAAAACGGGTCCAATTTCTTTAATGACAAAATCATACGAACCGAAAACTTTCACGTTGGAAATGGTCCAATGTATTACAATGGTTGATACAGAATAAACACTTTGCCGAGATCGCCTGATGAAACGGCTACAAAATAGAACCTTGTTATTCAAAACGGTTTTTCTTTTGATCCGATTATATCGACTAGAAAATTATCAACAATACATCTATTGACTAGATCGAGAGGAGAGTATGTGAAAAAATTCTAATATATTTTGAAAGAGGAGAGTATGATTTCTGTTGATTCTATCTGCGTTAAAAGGAAGTATGTTGGCATCCCGTCTAGCCTCTGCGGTTTTTCGCGGTTTCCGCGAAACTGATAAAAGATAACAACATGGTGTCTTCGGCAAAGTTGTAGTACTTGAGGTTTTCTTTAACATTGCTGAAGACATCTATCTCTTATCTCTTATGAGTTGCGCGCAAATCGCGCACATAAAAAAGCAAATTTTATATGAATGTCCGAGAATGAAAACGCAACTTCTATTCACAACACATATAAGTGAAACAAAAATAAAAAAATTTATTGAAATGAAACAACACAATCGAATTTTTTCAAAGTGTAACAACAAAAAAGATTTTTTTAAAGTGTAACATCGGTATGTTGTTACACTTACTACATACCGATGTTACACTTTAAAAAATCTTTTTTGGTGTTACACTTTGAAAAAATTCGATTGTGTTGTTTCATTTCAATAAATTTTTTTATTTTAGTTTCACTTATATATGTTGTGAATAGAAGTTGCGTTTTCATTCTCGGACATTCATATAGAACTTTTTTTTCTTATCATTTTTCGCGCTTTTAGCGGAGCTGATAAGAGATAAGAGATAACTGAGCAATGTTATAGAAGACCTCGAGTGCTACAACTTGGCCGAAGACACCAAGTTGTTATCTCTTATCAGTTCCGCGAAAACCGTGGAAAACCGCGAGGACCCGCCAAAAATGAACATACTCGCCTTTAACCATTTTTGAGTCGAAAGAAACTTACTCTTCTCTTTCACAACAAAGTCAGATGAACTTACTCTCCTCTCGATCTAGTCAATAGACATTATTATTTATTCCTTTGAATTTTCGCAGTTCCTTTTTTTTCTTACTAGTTGTGTCTCGAATCTTGAAGTTTTACATACACACGTACACACAACCACATACATATCTAAATCTGGTTTGTATGAAGAATGCTTCAGTTGACCTCTGAACGGAAACTGAAGTACTGATAGAACTACAACTTTGAATCTGGCCACTCTTTTGATTCTGCTAATGTTCTGTATATTTATATCTCTAGCAAAAGAGTCGTATGCGTTTGCTATTACTAAACCGTTATTGGGCATTGGAATGGATAGGGATGTAGTAGGAGTGTAAGCAAGCGTCTATTGCAAAAGGGCATAATTGAAAAGCGAGACTTGTTACAATCTATAGCCTGGAGCGCATCAATTTCGTTGCCTCATTTTCGGTTGAATTTCTATTGTAATTGAAAATTCTAATTAGTCAACTTCATTTTTAGCCGCAATCCAGTCTTGACTCTCTAGTCTGACCATTTTTTGATAAATAGAGCGCGAGATTGAGATAGAGAACTCTCTTATTATTACAATGACAATAAACACCTGCAGCAATGAAAATGAAATCCTGCAGACAAGAAATGGCAGTGAGTTAATTAATTTATTTGTTGTTTCGCAATTGCTCTTCTTTCAGATATTCATTACTCGAATGTATCGATTATATTTTTAGCATTGGAAGCGAAACATCCATACCGATTGATTGATGTAAGCGGAATTATATGAATCGATGATGGTATTTTGTAGGTTAAATGGATCCACTTCCCGAAATCTACCGCTTTTATCCGGCTACTTGCTTCCAGCCAAGGACTATTTGCAAATAATCATTCGATTACAAAATGGCATCAATGTAGATTATTAGAGCCAAACAGGAAAAATAAAACGTGAATACGCTTGCAAAATATGCATGGCACTTGTGATTTATCAGTAGTAAATCGGCATGTAAATATGAAAATCGAACGACGCGATGTGTTTCACTGTTCACAGCTCTTTCGCAAATGAACTCAATTAATTGCGTTTCGAGGGAATAAATCATGAATGTCGCAGATGGTTCTCTTCGTTGTCGCGTGTATGTCTGTCATTCAAAATCCAGATCTCGTCGCTGGAATGACATTAGGACTGATGTATTTGATTTTAATTGGGCCAGCTTTTAGGCATTCACCAACTTACATGTCTCTCATGGCATGCCTCTGTTGTTGTTTTTTTCTTAGTTTGACACATTTTCCAGCGATAATGCAATTTTTAGCCTATCTTTGGGTTGATTAATTGAGCTAAATTCCGCTTTGGTACTGGGCTGGAATTCTTTGAAATTCCACCAAGATCGTTCGGAATTATTTTTTTCGTACGTAAGACTATATTGGAGTGAAAGAGAGAGAGAGATTCCACTGATTTTCATCTTTCTACCGGAATTATTCCGATAACTCAAGGAAAGGTGATATTTATCGCAGTAATTTGGCTGGGATGATGAAAATTAGTGGAATGTCTCTCTTTCACTCAAATATAGTCGCCTCCAAAAAAATAATTCCGAACGATTTTGGTGGAATGTCATAGAATTGCAGCCCTGATTTTGATTTGGCAGGCTATCCAAAAGCAAGTGATTTCATGCAATAACAAAAAATCGGACTAACGAAATTAAGTTCGTTTCATGTTAAACACGATTAGTAGACACGATTTTACTTCTAAACGTTATGAATATCAAATGAATCACAACTTGCATTGCTATAACAATTATACATATGTATTATGTCTTACGTTGTTGATTCAAACAATAAACACTCAACGGGTTGTGCATTCACATGGTTAAGTATATCATTTTCCTGTTGAATAACAACAATATTTTTCTTTTTGTGGAATAAAAAGTGTTCCGCTTGAAATGATTTCGTTTTTATATGGCTGCAAAGAAATCGGTGGGTGTTTTTTCGGCGGCACTGATACCGATCCATTCGATGCCACTATAATTTTGTTTATGTCCAGTTTGTATCGTGTTATTTAATTTGGTGTGAATCATTACGTTATGGCAACGATACGAAAATGATGGCAACAAATAAAATGGCCCCGGTGAGCTGGCTGTTTTACCGATCTTCTGTGAATCTAATTAGTGAGTAACCGCAGCGCTGAATTTAAATGTATAAAAATCTATTATAATTACTTGGCTCATTTTATTCCAAGCACACACATGCACACAAACTGTATTGTTGTTGTTGATGTTGAACAGCATCGTTCACCGGATTCAGAGCACATTTTGTATGGAACAATATGGTTCGAAATGGGATTGAGTAAGTGAATTTGTGTTGCTCTGGCCAGAGCAATGTGCCAAAGTAAAGTAGATACGAATACTGTGGTCATCAGTAAACATCGCATTTAAATTGATAATGGGATGCAGATTTGAATTGTCATTCATGTATTCATATGAACTTGGTCATACATTGAATTGTCATTTCACTCCAACGCTCCAAGTCAGCCCATGTCTACTTCTTTCTTCTCTTGTTTTCCATGTTTGCATTAATCGATTCGGTATCAATTTTTTTTTGCTTTGTGAATGCTTGTGCTTGAAATTTGCTTCCTGCAATACAAATACACACTCACACATATATGCAACACTCATTGTATGCCGGATAAATTCCAAGATGAACGATAAACAGCAACAAGAAACGCGTCCAAATGTTCAATGGAAATGCGTGCTTTGTGTAAAATATTCATGTAAAACATATTTGCTCCATTTTCTAGTTGTAACAATCAATCATGATTATGCTATATTTTAAGCATTTCCATGAAGTAACTTAGGAGAAACCCAAACAAACTGTTGGTTCACTATCTATTTTGCGTGCATTTTCTTCGAGCAGATTCCACCTCCACCGGTATTTTTGTACGCAGCAGCGAAAAATGTGAACATTCATATTCTAATTGACTTATTCTGGAAGCAACAGATATATATGATGCACACATTCGAATTTGATGACTGCGAAATGGCGCCACTTTATACAACGTTCGAGTTTTCCACTCGTCAACCATAGAGGAGTAGTCATAGTTTCAAATACATAACAACCACACAGAAACAAACATAAAGTCGCTCGCTCACTTCACTGCTTGCACGTATTTACTTGGTGAATTTATTTGATTTCGATATTGTGTGCACTCAGTTGATACAGAATTTATTTTTGGTATCGTTTTATAATCGTTTCGCATTGATTCTCGACTGTTTCTGAAATTAGCAGTGTACGATCTGCAAAATCGGAATATGGTTAAACTAATTTGCAATGTGCAAATGTTTATGAAAATTGGCCGATTGTGAGCGAAGCACACATAAACATACATGCATGCACGCACGCACTCACTCATAACGCCCATCAAATAATCAATTAGATATATAGCTAATGCGCCGTACATTTGGCACTATATAGACATAAGAATGAACAAAAATTAAATTTGTTTAATATGATTAACAACAGTAACTAAGTTATTAATTTTGATACAACCGAACATTTTATGCATTCCATTGGGCGTAAATGATACAGTTTGTGGGATGGTAATGGATTAGAAATTCTTCTGATAAGCATCGCTAATAAAATTAAGCCCGAACAAATGTTTACGTTAGTCGAAACTTTGTTATTATTGTATAAGTAACAGGGGGCAAGTAAATGGTTGACACTTTATTGAAATTTACATCTGAAACCATTCCGCCCCATCATTTAGCCACCAAAAAAATGAAAGAATGGCAATTTTGCTGTGAAATTTTGGAAAAATCAATCAATATTTTGACATAATTGATGACATGTCGTTGAATTGAACTATGTGAAATAAATAAGTTGAATTAATCCCGGATAATATTTTCAAAGTCAATTTTTTGGGTTAAGCCGAATGGCAATGTGATAGAAAAAAAATAGCGTTGCATGGAAAATACGTATTGATAGTGTGGTGTTGCATAATACACGATCCAATTTTTCACGCTCATCACTTTTTTCGGCGATGATGGCAGCAGCTTATTATCTATTGCCACGTTTCACTCCATATTCCGCGAATTAAGTCGACTTTTATCATGCATTGATTGTCTTTTGTTCGTGTGCAATTTCCCTGTACGCAAAACGTCTCCATGGGCAAAAAAAACTTTTCCTCTGTTCAAATTCCATTCTTGTACATTGGTTCCATCATTTGGTTGACATGATATCTAAAATTAATCCAGAAAAAAAACCAACGTTGGAACATTGTCGTTTTAAAATGCCAATAAAAAAAATATTAAACACTTTTTTAGCATCGGAATTTTTTTATCTTATGTGTGTGATAAATCAATGTTCTGCTCTTATACATATGTGCCCTGCTTAAGAAATCGTTGATGCTGTGCGAATATTCATAGAGTATTTTGGCTTAACGCGCAATGGGTAGACTGAGAGAAAAAGAAATACGCGAAGAAGGGATATAAAAAGACTGAGAGAAAAGAGGGAGGAAAAACAAAAACGAACAAATCATGTGCCGACTAATAGAAGAATGGAAAGGATAATTTGACGTAAAATACATGTGTTGCTGTTATCTACTCCGTAAAAAAAACGAAAACCAATTCACGTGTCATGCAAATGAATATAAAATTCGATGACTTTTTTTTCTCTCGCTCTCTCCACCTCGCGAACAGTTTCATGCATTGTGACATTTTTTGTTTCTCTCTTTCTCTCCCTCCCTCCTTCTCTACGTTTTGTTTCAAGGGAGTTATTGAGAGAACAAGATCAATATTTCACGTCGCACTCAATCTGCACATATTTATTACACATTGTTATTTGAAATGTGTACGGTACATAAATACCGTTTATGGTGTGTACGGACCAATCTGAATGTATGGATTAAATATTTTTTTGACTTTTACGCATTGTTTTTTCTCGCTCACATTCAACCCACTGAGCGGCTCATCAGTCTTTGATCGAAAATCACAAACTCATATATAACGTTTGATTGAATATCGGATATCCGTTTCGAATTCAATGTTTTGTTGTGTTTCACCACTACCTTGGTGTAATGTGTATCGCAATTTTTTGTTGGTTCTCTTGGTTTTCTTTCTGTCAAGTCTAAATCGAAATGTTGACAAAACAAAAACCAGAACGAAAGCTTCAAGTGTTCGTGTATAAACAGAAACCAATGCACATGGTACACATCAACGGAAAAGAAGAAGAAACGAATAACCGAAGATCAGAGAAGAAGTTGTCAGAAAAGCAAACCACAATTAATCTCGGCTGATTCGCGAGAGAATTTTATGTTTGCGTAAATCAATTGAAAACTTGCGAAGTAAACCAGTTTGTTAGACATATTTATTTAAATGACGGTTGATTCCCATCGTTTAAGCGTGCGTTCGCGTGTCTCATCAAGCGCTTAAGTGATTTGCACACTTTCTGCATGGTAAGCAGCATAAAAAAAGGGATCGAACACATCCTACGCAAATGAATATTATACGGGTACATTAACAGTGCGGACTTCTTGTTGCAAGCCATCAAACTTCAATTTGCTTTCTTTCTCTGTTCTTTAATTTGGTGTTTTTTTTCTCCCTTTGGTTGTTTGGTTAGCATCATAGCTATGTGCTTTTTTCATGGTTGTGGTTAGGATGCGCCAAGAAAATAATTTATTACCAAACACTGAAATGATTATGAACTTGAAGCCACAAAAACCGAAAACTTCCAAACAATATATTAAAAGAAAATGCTCAATGTTTCATAAATTATGAAGTTTATGATTGAAGTTTAGCGCCCTCAGTTTACACAGTGTGTATTTTGTGTGATTGGGCACCAGAGACACACACACACATACACACAGCTCGAAGCATCGAAAGTAAACCGAATTGTGATGTCGAATCGAATCGTGTCTAGGATCATTCGTTGCTTGGCACGCATCAAAGCAGCAGCAGCAACAACGACCATCCAACGACAAAAAAAGAACAGAAGAGATATGATTCACGCATTAATTAAGAAATTTCGTCTGATTCGCATTTTGTAGATGGATTGACGATAATGAATTTCAATTGAATTTTGTAGCAATCATCGTGATGGTTGTGGCTACGACACAAGATACAGACAGCAACAAGTGTGAATTGATAAGAATCAAACGCAATGAGCAATAGCGTGTGCTGATACAGAACTCCAACCATAACATTCCTATATTATTTACATCTTCATCGAAAAGCACAAACTAAAATACACAGTAATCTTTCATCAAATATGCGTAGAATAACTGCATTATAAAAGTTTTATTTTTGTTTTGGTCCGTCGATTTGTCATAGGCAATGGGAGAGTTCATGGGCAAATGTTTTCGTTTTCGCTCCCGTTTTCGCATATTATATGGTGTAAATATGTTTTTTTTCTCTTCTCTCTCCCTATCCCTAGCTACGCATATTGAGCATTTATTGATGGTGACGACGGTGTATATTTCCATAATTTTGTGTGAGAAAGATGAGACACGAAATAACTTTGACAGGCGATGCGCCTTTTTTCACGCTCATTTGGTGTATTTTTAGCACTACATGAAATGTAGAGCTACTAATCTGCGTTTTTTTTTTCTAATACTTTTTCGAGCCATGAACAGAATTATAGTGGCTTTCAATTTTATGCTCATATTTTTTATTCAATTCAAACTAGTGGCAGTAACGACAAATAAGTGCATAGTATCTCGAAACGCTAATCAAATTTTCATTATCAAATGTTATTTAAAATTTACATTACTTTTTCCTTTTTTTGTATAGTACTCTTTTACCCTTTAGTATAAGTAATGGTTGAGATAAATTCTATGCGCATACTATTTATTTAATTTAAAGGAGTTACATTAATGAAGAATAACGTATAATAAAACAATGGTTTAGTTAAATTGATTTAATATCATATGTACTATCAAGAATTAATTCCCTTTTTTGAT